TGATAATTTACCAGCTTCCCAGATTAATTCAAGTTCAATTCTAAGATAAATATGTGTACACCACGCCCAGGGAAATGGTTTCCTGACACCACCATGAAGCAAGATTCCCAGTCTGGCACAGCTTTACTGAATACTCTGAAAACTAAAAATGCAACATTCACACTTCAGCACCAAGTATTGTGGGTTACCAGTCATGGTTTCAGAGCTAGCTGCACTCTTCTGATCTCTGAATGCACCCCCTCAGATGATAGGCTTGTTTCCTTCACCTGTCCTGGGATGGAGTCTCACAATTCCCTACATTTAGTCTGGGCCCAGGGTCATTTTAACGTATGTATCAATTATGCTGACGCAGCTGAACCCTGTCAGATCTGCTACCTGCAAGTCTTCCCTTCAGGAGCTGCGATTAGTGGTTTATTCAGTGACCAGATGCCCTTTTCACAAATAAATATAGTTTTATTTAATATCAACAGTGGGAACAAAGCATGAGAGAAAGGGGATATAAATACAATAAAAAAAATCTATGCATATCAATCTTACGTAAAGGTTTACATAGGCTTAGCTCATCCCAGACTCCCCAACTTCTGGGGACTACCCCGTAGTGTCTGCCTCCCTCTTCCCCCTCATCTCCAGGGACTTTTTATACACTCCTAAATTCTTGGTTCTTTTCCTCACATGGATTCCCACTCCCATGTTTACAAGCCAGACTGTTGAAATCAGCACAGTCAGAGGTGAATCTTCAAATGCCCAGTGACACCTGCATTGTCCTTTAATTATGGGTAAATGGGGCTATCTGATGCTATTGTTCCCTTTCCTGCTATGTGCAGGTAACGCCTACTGGATTTAACCCTTTGTAATACTACAGCAAACACCACAACAAAAATCAAACCCTTTGAACCTGTAATATGCATGAAGCATTACAGACAACTCCCATGTCCTTCATAACCACTCCTCCATTCTGTTTGCTATTTTCTACTTTATCAGCATTCAATTGTCTGCAAATAGTAAGGAAGGACTCACTAGTAAACATGCAAACCAAACCTCTGATAGTGAATATGAAGCAGGCCTTTCATGTTCTAAAGTTGGGTATAGTGTTTTACACACACTTTCTTGTCTCTACCTTTCCTCGTTATGACTTGGTGGAGCAGCAGCATCTGAAAGCCAAAGCCTTTTCTAGCCAGATACCTAGGCCAGTTTTACAAACTCAAGATGCCAAAAAACCTGGATGTTTAATTGAAATTTCTGAGGCCGACCTATCACTAATATGTAGGCATTACTTTAGATATCACATTAAGTCATATAATGCTGACAATAGAGGTTGGAATAATGCACCAGTAGCAGAATGCCACGGAAATGAATGGAGTTGGATGCCTGCACTGCTGTCTAGCTCTAATGACTAATTCACCACCGGCAGCTTTGGAACCTGCCCATGCCCAGCCCTCACATTTGTACAGAACAAACAAACAAACATACATACATTATATAAATCCAGTTCTGAAAGCCATGAACACCCTCGCTTCAATGGGTCAGGACCCTTCCAGATTTGGTACCTAACAGGGGAGGAAAAAGCTTTCACAAGCAGAGTTTTTAAGTCACCATAAAGCTTATCCTGTTCAAGCTACATCACAGGATTTCAACAATAGCTAGAGATCTTTCAAGCCATAAAAACCTTGAGACTTGTATAGAATAAAACACAGCTATGTGCTATCACAGCTGTATTTTAACTGCAGGTGATTTTTCTAATTTAAATAGAATTCAGCAGTTTGATTAGCTGGCAACTGATAAAAGAAATCAAACTGCATAACAAATGAGCTCAGAGTTGAACTACTTAATCCTTGGCAGCTTACAGTGATCACTCCAGAAGGTACATTTATTTCCACCCCACCTCTATTATCTTATGATCCCCGCTAGTTTAACCACCACTGCAAAAAATCTTTAGTCACTACTACCGTGTTCTGGCAACATTTCAAATAGATTCAAAGTAGAGTTTACCACATTCCATTACATATCATGTAACAGATGATGTTATTTTAACACTATGCAGGTCAGCTATTCAGCAATACTCAAACTTAAGCACTACAGTTAATACTGCCATGTTAATCTGTATCAGCAAAAAGAACAAGGAGTACTTGTGGCACCTTAGAGACTAACAAAAGCTTACACCAAAAAAAATTTGTTAGTCTCTAAGGTGCCACAAGTACTCCTCGTTCTTTTTACAGTTAATACTGTAAAGTCACTAGAAGTGCTATTCTGAGGTTCCATATTTGCTGTAAAGTTTGAGATACAAAACTTGTAAACTGAGCTAGTTTGTCTCTGACAACCCTGCAAACTCAGCCCAGGGAGTAGAAGTCAAACAGCATTCAATCTGGAGCCGGGATCCAAATATATTATAATCTGATTTAAATTCCACAGTTCTGCTGCTGATGCACAGGCAACAAGAGAACCCAACATAATCCTGTAGCTTTGCAGCAACTAGTGAGTAAAAAGTCAAAAATATCACAGCACTCAGTTCATATAGGATGTAGATCACAGGAGTAATAATATTTATCCAGCTATTTTCACATAGTTTCTCTAATTTGTTTTTTAAACAAACCGACTTGTCTATACTTTCATTTGCTGGAGTTAAAAGTTAGCATAAATGAGTAACTACATGGCAGTTATTTGTTATCTCAAACAGAATCAACATATGGAAATTTTCCATGTGCTAGATTTGTATATGATATTATGACTAATACTGGCAGCTTTCATCAATATTGGCATGCAGTACACGGCCCTACAAATGAGAATAAATTAGCATGCAGGAGATGTGGTGTTTCACATCATACCTGCAAACAATCTGAGTTTTTTTTTCCAGTATGAGAAAGTGTTTGTAAGATTCCCACCATGCACACTTAGGTTTTCTTTCCCTGCTCATGCAGAACCTCTTACACAAAATGAACTAATGTTTGTTAGAAGCATACTTTCAAACTTAGAGCACAGTCTCTGGCATGAAAGGAACATGGATGAAACTTGGCTCCCAAAGTAAGTTTGACAAAGTACATTTTTACAAGACTTGGAAAGGAAGTGAGCAATTGTTTAATTTTTTGGATTTTTTTTTTTAAATCAGTGAACGTTATCTTGTTATTTAAAGCCAGGCATTGCAGAACTGGTTTAGTGCAAAAGACTAAGTGAAATAGACAATAAACAAGTGAATGTGATCCATCTAGAGTTAATGAAGAGCAAAAAAAAAACCTGCAAAGGATGTAAATAACCTAAGATAATGTTAAAAACAATCACCAGTGTTTATTGTTAAAATTGCAAATATCCTGTTACGCCAACTGCTTGCAGAGGTCAATTTGCTGCTACGAAACTACCCTACGTTGTACTAGGGGGCATCTTGCAATCACAACATAAAGGCATGAATATGCAGCAAGCAAAACAGATGCACCTTTTAGGGTCATTTCAAAGGAAAGAAAGGCACGGGAAACCCTAGCCCCACGGAAGGTGTAAATAACCCCACCTCAGCAGCAACACAAGTACAATCGACACACTCGACCCACGCTGGGAGACCAAGTTCTTCACACCTTGTGAAGACAGATGCTCGCCCCCGGGGCAGAACAGTCCCCGGAACTACCAACAGCTTTTCTGGGGCCCCGATAGAAAAAGCCGCTCGTCTTTTCACACGCTGCCAGCCCATCCCCCAGGCTCCGCCAGCCTCCCACGCCCCCTTCCCTTGAATCTGCCCTGCCTTCCTGCCAGAGGAAGAGAGTTGGGAGAGCCCGCAGCTCTCCCCACCCGAGCGCAGGGTCCATCCCTCGCCTGCTGGGCGAGCCTGCGTCTCTCCCACAATCTGCGAACTAGCCCCGCTGCCGAACCCCAGCCCCGCGCCCCTCTCAGCAATAAAAGGAGAGAGAGAGAGAAATGATCGTCCTTGAGAGGTCGGCGCTCAATGCCTTGTAACGCGCATGGGAAGCTCTTATCTTCAGTGCAATCTCTCACCCTCTGTGCACATCAGCCAAGCCAGACAGCTCCTGCATCAGCCACCGCCCGCCTCCCAGCCCCCCCCCCCCCCATCCGAAGTTGGCTCTTCTGGACACACGTACGGGAGGCAAGGAATGATGGTGGTGTGTAAACCCCCCCAGCCGCACACCACCACCTGCTTTACTGCTGCTCAATGCATACAACGTGGGCTGGTCTAATAAAATCTCAGAGTAACAAAAATATGGCTCCCTCCCCTCAGCCACTTCCACCGGCTCCCCGCCCCCCCAAACCAGACCTGGGGCCCCAGAGTTAAATTACAAGAGGCAGCGGATTGCTCCACACCGAGCTCGCTCCGGCTGATGCAGGAGGGAAATAAGCAAAGCAGCCCCTTTTGCATCTTTTCCCCGGTCTCCTCTCGTGCTAGTCTGCACTGCTTTCGCGTGCAGCAGCCTGCTCCGGTGGAGGGGGTGTGGTGGGGGGATGTAAGCAGGGCAGGGGAAGAGCCTTACTCCACGTTTAAAACGGCTTTTATTACAGCTCCCGGGGTCTCCTCCATTCTGCAGCCAGCCTCCAGTGAGCAGGGCAGCGTTTCGGCGTGGATTAGATTGTGCTGGAATGAAACTAGCTATCAACAAGCGTTAACACGCTCCAGTTCCAGCAGCCGGATCTGGAAGGGTCACTCCATGCATCTGGTCTGCTTTTTGCAAAAGCCCAATCACCGGAAAAGGGATCAGGGGCGAAAGCTGAGCCGAGCCAGCCTTGAGCTTCCAGACAAGATTCCTCTACCAGGTTCAAGAAAATTCACCCGTCTCCTTGCGAGGCTGAGTGCAATGCAATAGCTACATGCAAAAGACAGGTGGAGGTTCATTCCCCTGCAGATCTAGCGCTCCCTTTGCACGGCCAGGCTTCGCACTGGCTTTCTGCATTCCCACCACTCAGCCCGTGCACACAGGGATTATTCCCTGGGTTAAAAAAAGAAACACGAGAAATTCCATGCAACGTGCAATAGCAGGAGAGGGAAAGGGTTCCTCAGAGGCTCCTACCGGGACAGGCGTTACTGTTGCATTGCAAAGCGCCTAACCCCTGCAGTTCGCTTCCTTCCCCCCTTCCTTGCCTGCCAGTGCCGCCTGCTCCTGCGCTCTGCTCCTCCTCAGCCTCTTGCAGCTGCTGCTCACTCCAGGCTCGGAGCCCCCTACCCAGGGAGAGCAGGAAACGCGTCATCACTCTGGGACTGGTCTGCCTTCCTCCTCCCGACCATGCAGCCGCCTCCTCCTCTCACCCCCCCCCACCCCCCAGCTGGAGTAGGCACCCCCCCCCGCACCCCACCCTGGCACCTCTCTAGCGCAGCAGCTTCCCCTCCACAGAGACATTCCCCGGTTCACTGGATTTAGGCAGCAAGGTCCCCCTATTGCCTTCTCTTACCTGCGAGTGAGGATATGGGGGCAGCTGCTGCAGAGACCCCCCCCATCCCACTCCAGGGTTCTGACTCCCAGCTGAGAGGGGAGGAAAGGGGACCCTGCTGAAAAAAATCCATTGATCCAGCTGGATGGTGGGAAGGGGGTAGGGTGACCAGACAGCAAGTGTGAAAAATCGGGACAGAGGGTGGGGGGTAATAGGAGCCTATATAAGAAAAAGCCCCAAATATCAGGACTATCCCTATAAAATCGGGACATCTGGTCACCCTAGAAGGGGGGGATCTCTGTTCCCAGCTGCAGTATGAACCTCTCTCCCCCCAATAACAGGCTGCCCTGCCCTCTGTCCCTCCTCTGGCAGGGCAGCCGGCACTACAGCAAGGAGCTCTGCCTCCATTGAAGATGTCCCCCTCTTCAGTCACAGCTGCCAGTGGCCCTGGGATAGTTTTCAGGAGGGAAGTAGGCCAGGACATGGCTTCGTTTCAGGGATGTGGAAAGCAGAGAAGAATAAAGTATTCTGTAAGTAGGGAAATTGATTTGTGGAGCAATTCATTTATTGTTAGAGAAAATGCAGTGTTCTCGACATTGGCTAGACACTTGCCCTCACCTTTACTCATATCTATACCACAATATTGTATGGCATCTGAAGAAGTGAGGTTCTTACCCACGAAAGCTTATGCTCCCAATACTTCTGTTAGTCTCAAAGGTGCCACAGGACCCTCTGTTGCTTTTTACAGATTCAGACTAACACGGCTACCCCTCTGATACAATATTGTCAAGTATGTAAACCCAGGTAGTGAGTACCAGACTTTTAGTCTAAGTTAAATTACTTTTCTAACACTGCAAACTCTTAGGAAGTGGGGTTAAAGGGCTGAAATAGTGTACATACTACAGCAATAGGCATGTAGGACACCCAAGATGGAGATTGCAGGAATTCTCAAAAATTGAGGCAATGTTTCTACAGAGCTAGATTAAATTAATAGGTCTCTTTAAGCTTCCTTCCCTCCCCTTGCACTTAGGTAACTATATTTTATTCTGAAACCAACCCAGTGGGCTAAAGAGCAAGTGAACCTAAACTTGAATTTTGCAAAGAGACCCACAAGGGCAGATCCTCTCCCATACAGAGCCTTGTTGACCTGCACCCTACATTGGTGCAATTTACATTTTATTCATCAAACATCTATAAAATGCCCACTTAAGCACCCCTGCACCTACACTGTAGGTAGGTCACACCTCCTATTCATTCATCACCATCTTAGACAGGAGCTTCTGGGCCAAACAAAATTCTGCGCAATGGATTATTTCAATGTGAATAAAAATATCAACTCGTTCAAGGCAAAACAGCCATTTATATTTGGTCATATTAAGCTTTTAAACGTAGTACTAGCTGGAAACTGCTGTTGGAACAAAGGAAACTAAGGGTTTGTTCTGCATTAACTCTACTGTTAGTGCAGGCAGTGGCCTTGGCTACACTCGGGACTTCACAGCGCTGTGAAGCATGAGTGTAGTCGCGCCGCCAGGGCTGCGAGAGAGCTCTTGCAGCGCTGTATGTACTCCACCTCTCCGAGGGGAGTAGCTTGCAGTGCTGCGAGCGAGCATGCAGCGCTGCAGGCTCTGATTACACTGGCGCTTTACAGCGCTGTACTCACTGCGCTCAGGGGGGTGTTTTTTCACACCCCTGAGCGCAGCAAGTTGCAGCCCTGTACACCGCCAGTGTAGCCAAGTCCATAGTTGTACCAATATAAAGGTACTTTATACCAGTATAGTTATACCATATAGGGAGGAGAATAAGCTATACTGGTTCAAACACCTTACAGTGATATAACTGCATTCACTGTACAGTTTATATCACTATAACTTTTAGTAAAAAGAACAGGAGTACTTATGGCATCTTAGAGACTAACAAATTTATTTGAGCATAAGCTTTCGTGGGCTACAGCCCACTTCTTCGGATGCACAGAATGGAACACAGCGAAAGAAGATATTTATACATACAGAGAACATGAAAAGGTGGAAGTAGTCATGCCGACTGTAAGAGGCCAATCAATTGAGATGAACTATCATCAACAGGAGAAAAAAAACTTTTGAAGTGATTATTGAGATGACCCATAGAAGGTGTGAGGAGAACTTAACATGGGGAAATAGATTCAATTAGTGTAATGATCCAACCATTCCCAGTCTCTGTTTAAACCTAAGTTAATTGTATCTAATTTGCATATTAATTCAAGTTCAGCAGTCTCTCTTTGGTGTCTGTTTTTGAAGGTTTTTTGTTGCAAAATTGCCACCTTCAAGTCTGTCATGAGTGGTTAGAGAGGTTGAACCAGTGGGAGAACACTTCAACCTCTCTAACCACTCAGTGACAGTTAGACTACTCAATGACTACTTCCACATTTTCATATTCTCTGTATGTATAAATATCTTCTTTTGGTGTGTTCCATTCTATGCATCCAAAGAAGTGGGCTGTAGTCCACGAAAGCTTATGCTCAAATAAATTTGTTAGTCTCTAAGGTGCCACAAGTACTCTTGTTCTTTTTGCAGATACAGACTAACACGGCTGCTACTCTGAAACCTTTTAGTAAAAAAAAAATCTTAGCCATAATCAAAATCATTTTGCCAGTACAAAAATTGTAGGGGCCTACATGATCAACTGTTCGTCAGCATTGTAAACAGGAGAAAGTGTTTCTCAATTGCATCATCATTCAGCCATTCTCCCAGTCAGCAGTAATTTTGAGCAGTCAAGTGAGCATTAAACCACTGGGCCAACATGCAATTGGACTGTAGAACTAGCAAGTCCTGAAACCCTTTCAGGATTTCTACAGCAATTCATTCCCTGGTGAGCTTGTTGAAGATGGTCTCGTAGTTACTATACTCAAAGCCAGTTACCTTGTACACCTAAGCTGCATGATTAAGGCATCTCAGTATTAACAACCGTAACAGTCATTCTGAGCTACTTAGACCACTTGCAGTAGGGTCAAAAAGCATCTTGCAAATCACAATAGAAAGTGTGCTTAATTTGCTTTATTGCATTAGAATACTTTGTTTGGAGGTGTATTTGCTTTTTTATAAGTTTAAGAATATACATACCTAAATACAAGTATGGAGTTCTGAGGCATTGATCACATCCCTTCACAGCTCCCAGTACAGGAGACACCTTGGGGGATAGCCAGGGATAAGTAAGGGCATGGTCACAGAGTGACTGCATTTCACCTATTCTCGACTATCAGAAAGGCCTATTGGGACCATAAGCAGCCAATTGTAATTTAGAGGAGCCCAGAGGATGCTTTAAATTTTGCCAGGCCCAAGAAGGCTGACTAGAGCCAAAATAGGACTGTGAAAAGGTAACAAAATCAACTTTCTCCACCCACCTCCAAGGCCTGTGCAGCAGAGCTGATAACTTAAGTCCAAAACATTAGATGTTGATAGCATAGTGGTGAGTCTGAGCTTTCAGAAAATAGGAATTATTTATTTTTCATCATGTTTACTTATGCATGTTAGGTGCTTTACAGGTAAATAAAAGACAGAGTCCCTGCTGCAAAGAGCTTACAGTTCAAGTTTTATACACAACTCAGCAAGGCTACATAAATAATGAGGTGACAAAATCCTAAGATTTCTTCCAAACCGGGATGATATTTCCTAGATGATGTCAGTGTGTAAAAGTGAGACACTTTTGGGTTTTACACAAGCTTCACATTCTGCAGGAATCAGCAAGTCATACTCTACTTTTTCCCAATTCTGATTCCAGTCTGTACTCAGATAAATCTCCTGATCCCACAGAGACAAGGATAATCAGAAATCTTTTCCATCTTAGCGACTAGCTTTGTGAGTACTCTGTTGGTCCTCTACAACAGCTGGAACATTCTGTCTAGTGATGAGTTTACATTAGTTCACTTTATTAACATTTGCAGATGGAAATATTTCTGATGAAAGAAACTCAGAATAATTGAGATGAACCAAAAAGGTGCTTACATCACAGTTCTGAGATTATCCAACATTCCCTTCTATTTTGTTGTGAAGACAACTTTCGCCCTTCATCTCTTTCCTATTTAGTTTGTCACTTGTCTCTTGGAGTATCATTAAACTGGTTTAGCTAGTAGTAGTAACTGCCGAGTTTGAGATTTGTCTGACGACCTGCATGACATAATAATCTCTCACAATCAAATCAGACTCTAGCCGCAATTACCAGCGGTGACTGCTGAGCTGACATGTTTATGGTTCGTTACGAATGAGGGGGAAATGATGACTGCTTGGAAGAAGATAACATTTCTAGGCTTTGTTTCCATCCAGACAAAGCTTAAAAATTGAGACATTCTATTTCAGGCATCTGACTTTACTTTTCCTCCACCCCAGCAGTTTTACCTCATCTCACTACGTCTTCCTCATTACTAGACCTTCAGAGGCTCAAAAGCAAATGCACTTTGGCAGATCAAGAAGTACAACAATCATATGTTTCCATGAAACAAAGTGGCACTGACATATGACCAGCAGGAATGGGAGAGCAGTTTTCAGTTGCTCGCCAGGTGTGTTAGTAGAGATGGGGACCCCCTTTTTTAAGCTTGAGAGGCAGATGTCAGGAGATGCACACAGAATAATGAAATTTCTACATGAACTGCCCATAAATGCTGTCCCACTTGTTCATGGCTCTGGGTTAATCTTTGTATTGAAAATGTCAGCACTTCGATACCTAAACTATATCATGGGTGCACACCTTCAGGTGACAGCATTTCTAGCTAAACCTTCCTGGCATTTTTGCTTACAGTGTCGGATGTCAGGTCAGGTACATGCTATAAACAGTTTTCTAAACTGTCAATGCAAATGCACTTTAAATCAAGAAAAAAATCAATGGCTCAGAATGGGTCCATTTAAATGCAGCATAAATCAAATCTAGGTATGCAAATGAGATTGTAAAAATATGTGCATATAGATATTCCATTAGGATTGGGCATCTTTAGAAAACTGACAACTGAGAAAATAATAATCTTCTACCATCTTATACATTACAACAGGAATGCAATGCAAAGGCTTTGAATGGGAAGGAGAACACTTACAAAGCTCAGGAAACAAGACTCCAGCAAGGTAAATGGACTTATTAAAAGCTAATAGAGGAACATGTTTTGGCTTAAATGTGGCAGATTATTTTTATACCTGTCATAAACATACAGCTAAAGGTAGCATAAAATCCCTCCTTTACCTGTAAAGGGTTAAGAAGCTCAAGTAACCTGGTTGGCACCTGACCAAAAGGACCAATGAGGGGAGAAGATACTTTCAAATCTGTGGGGGAAGGTTTTTGTTTTTGTGTTCCTTTGTTCACTCTGAGTCAGTTAGGAACCAGGGCAGGGAAAATACATCTACCTAAGCCATATCTGAACTAAGCATCTATTACAGAAATAGTAAGTAATAGCAAGGAAATGCGTTAGATTATCTTTTGTTTTAGCTTGTGAATTTCCCCTGTGCTAAGAGGGAGGTTTATCCCTGGTTTTGTAAGTTTTGCCTACAGCGGAAATCCTCTGTGTTTTGAATCTTTTGTTACCCTGTAAAGTTATCTTCCATCCTGATTTTACAGAGGTGATTCTTTTATCTATTTTTTTAAATAAACTTCTTTTAAGAACCTGATTGTTTTTCAGTGTCCTAAAGACCGAGGGGGGTTGATCTGTGCTCACTTTGTAACCAATTGGTTAGGATATTATTCTCAAGCCTCCCCAGGAAAGGGGGTGTAGCGGTTTGGGGGGATATTTTGGGGGGAGGTAGGACTCCAAGTGGCCCTCCCTGAATGTTTGTTTAAATCACTTGGTGGTGGCAGTGATACCAAGGGCAAGGAAGGAATTTATGCCTTGGGGAAGTTTTAAACCTAAGCTGGTAGAAATAAGCATAGGGTTTTTTTCATGCGGGTCCCCACATCTGTACCCCAGAGTTCAGAGTGGGGAGGGAACCCTGACAATACCTGTGTAAGAAGGTTTGGAAAAGTCAAACGCAGGAGTCCTAGTGGGTCAAAACTAGAGAGGTTATGTGACTTGCACAAAGTACACAGCGAATCCGTGACAATCACAAAACTAGGAATAAGCCCAGAGTAATAGGTCATCATCTTGTACTCTGACCACTAGACCATCTTCCTCCGGCATATGTACCCTGTCTTTGGAAAGTATAGTTAAGCAAATGGTTTGCTAAATAGCTTAAAACAACCAGATGTGGTGTCAGATTCTGAATTAGCGATTGTCTAACAAAAGAACAGGTGGTGAAGTAACATTTAATTAAAAAGTCACCACACAGAATAATTGCAAAAATGGTATTCTAGTTCTTAATTATGTATTTAATTAGGGCTCCTAAGTACCTTGGAACATTAACATAGTTTGGTACAGCCTGCTGTCCCTGACAGTCCAATCTCTGAAAGTAGCCTGTGGATACAGAGCTGTTAGGCTTTATCAGCCATATCACTTCCCCCTCTCTGCCCTTCTGGGGTGATGTCCCAACACTTCCTTGAGCCCTGGGGCTCCAATTGTAGAATCATAGACTATTAGGGTTGGAAGAGACCTCAGGAGGTCCTCTAGTCCAACCCTCTGCTCAAAGCAGGACCAACACCAACTAAATCATCCCAGCCAAGGCATTGTCAAGCCAGGCCTTAAAAACCTCTAAGGATGGAGATTCCACCACCTCCCTAGGTAACCCATTCCAGTGCTTCACCACCCTCCTAGTGAAATAGTGTTTCCTAATATCCAACCTAGACCTGCAACTTGAGACCATTGCTTCTTGTTCTGTCATCTGCCACCACTGAGAACAGCCTCGCTCCATCCTCTTTGGAAGCCTCCTTCAAGTAGTTGAAGGCTGCTATCAAATCCCCCCTCACTCTTCTCTTCTGCAGACTAAATAACTCCAGTTCCCTCAGCCTCTCCTTGTAAGTCATGTGCCCCAGCCTCCTAATCATTTTTGTTGCCCTCTGCTGGACTTCTTCAATTTGTCCACATCCCTTCTGTAGTAGAGTGACCAGACACCCCGATAAAATCGTGACCGTCCCGATATTTAGGCATTTGTCCCTCATCCTGATCGATCTTCGGTCGGGATGCAATTAGTCCCGATATTTCGCAGTACTCCTTGCACTCCGCCTTTTTTTATTTTTATATTTTTTCCTCCGCCGGCAGCACACAGCTGTTCTTGGCTCCCCCCTCCCCGCCCCCCGACAGCATTCAGCTGTTCTCGGCTTTTTTTTCTTTCCCCCCCTCTCCTCTGACTGCAGGCAGCACTGGGGCACAGTAGGGAATTGGGAGAGGGAGCTGTTTGTGTTGTTACAACGGCAGCACTGGGCTTTTTTTTTTTGCTCCGCCGGTAAGGGGCCCCCCCCCATTTGTGTCCCGATATTTTCTTCCTGTCATCTGGTCACCCTACTTCTGTAGTGGGGGGACCAAAACTGGGTGCACTTCTCCAGGTGTGGCCTCACCAGTGCTGAATAGAGGGGAATAATCACTTCCCTCGACCTGCTGGCAATGCTCCTACTAATTGTGAGTAGTCCTGGCATTATGTGTGTAAGGGGAAGGCTCTTTGGGCGCGCTTCCTTGTTACTCACACCCATTTCAGTCACAAACTGTCTCTCAGACATTAAACGCCATACTTTTCTCTTTCTGAATGCAAGGAAGGATCACATTTGTGTAACGGAAGGTTGAATTTGGGCCTAAGCCTTCATACTGTTTGCTTTTTGCGTAGTCTTAGCGAAGCACCGCTGCTGTGTTTCTGCTCAGTCTCCTTACTTTGTCTCTTACTACTTACTACAGTCGCCTTACTTTGTTTCTTCCACACCCCAGCACTACAAAGAACAATACACAAAGAAAATCCAACCTGTTTGTGTTACTCTGTTACATCAGTTTCTTCATTGTGACTCAGATTGTTCATTCTTGTAATAATGGAAGCCCCCAATTCTTGTTGTAAAATTATTTTCAGTCCCACTTAATGTGATTACATCTTGCAGGAGACAACAGAAGTTATTCCAAAAAGGGTTATGGCACCACTGACTCTTACTACTTAGCTTTGCATGGGAGTTTCTGGAAGAGATTCATTCATTTGAAAAATGTCTTTTTAAGGACCTAAATCCTTTAATAGTAAAACGAAATTGCCTAAGGGGTCACCTTCCCTTCCCTTCCCTCCCTCCCTCCAGATTACTTTATCAGCATTTTACTGTATAAAATCAAGCTTGGAACTGTGGTAATCATCCTATGACCTCACCACTTCTCCTTCCCCAACTCTGAAGTCTGTAGTCACGAGTGACAAAAAACAGAGTTCCAGAGTATTGAATGATTTGTGTCTATGCAGGAGAAGCTGATCTTATCAACTTCTCTTAGCTCCATAGTTACATTACAGTCTAAATATAGCCTTGTAGAGAAATTATATTTTCCCTTATATGATAGTTGCTACATCTGCAGAAAGTCACTCATCCAATTTTAAATTAACTACAGAATGACTTTACAGAATTAATATGCTAGGTAAAAAAAACACAAACAAAGAAACACAAGTATCTCTGGAGGGCAGAAAATCAGGTGTGTGTGAACCAATGCCTCATTTTAAGGGAAATGGTGCTTTCAAAGGGTGGAAGAATAGGATTGTGGATCAGATTTGGTACCCAGATTCAGTAATGTGTAAGGCCAGGAGACTGAGAACCAAGGATCACTTTTAGAGGCACTACACCTAATAGTAATATTAGTAGTTAGGGCCATAGGTTGATTTCACAATTGCTTATTCCAGCTCCCCTTATATACAGTATTAGCAACATCCAAAACATTTTAATATCTAAAAAGCAGAGTTTCCCATGGCATTACCCTGTCACTCTGAAGGCAACTTATTTTGCTTAAGACTTTGATTATGAAAAAAAGTTCATGAAAATGTCCGAGTTAAAGTCTTGGATTCAGACCATCACAATATCCAATATGGGTTGGTGTTTCCACTTGTGGCTTCCAAACATATCTTAAAATTAGTGTTTGGAGCTGAGCCATAAAACATTTCCAGGCTTTTGAAACATGTGACAGGACGCACAGAATACACATGTGGGATGCTCTCCACATCACTTGTATGTAACTAAATAGTGACTCACAACCTGAACAGTAAGTTATATAGTCTTTTAATCTAATATCTTGCCAGTATGTACAAAAAGACAGTATGTACAAAAAAGCTATTGCATTAAATACACATAAAATATTGCACTTTTGAAAATGGGATGTAGGCTCTGAAGTCACTTAAGCAATTTGGAAAATTTTATCCAGGAAACAATATCAAGCCTAACACCTGAATGATGAAATCCATCATTATATAGAATAGCAGCAGTGTTTTTCAGTTGCCACTCCTTTTAAGGATGCTGATAGAGTATTGGAACAATGCCCTGGTTTTTAGGAAATAAAATTGGTGTTTTCCTGCCCCTTAGTTCCCTCCATGTTACCACACATTAGCTTTGTTGTCGTTATAAAGCAAAATGTTTGCTTTTTTTTTTAATTACAGCAATTCAGTATTATGGAAAAATCCTCACTTTTAAAATATGAGACATTGTTAGCACCTTGTCTTCATACAAATCATTCAAATAATAAGCTCTATTTTATACATAACTGTTTCCTTTCTGTGTTACAGTCTCCTTCAGTACTTGGCTACATCCGTTTTACTGTTCAGATTTATAGATTGTTATGATTTATAACAGAACAATTATTTTATGCTCTGAAACAATGAAATACAGATTTGGGCATATGTAAATGAATCAAACAAATACATTGTCTGAGTCTGTGCAATACCAAAGGAAAGAATTGAAGTTGACACAAGAATATTTCCTGCTGGAGGTCTGCCAAAGAAAAATTGGCTGCACTAGTGATGCTCATTATTGTGATTTTCATCTTATTTGTAAGTTTAATAAAGCATCAACATCTGCTTATGATATTAACAGGGCTGAATCCAAGCTGTAAGCTGTTTGTGCATAAGCTATATAATTTCTTTCAAAATCAATATTTATTTGCACATTTTTTCACTCAGAGGAGAAAACAACCCTCCTTTTGTGTAGTACAAAGCATGGGCAACACTTCAGTCCCACTTAAACCCTAAGTTACACATGCTAGCCC